CGAACCAAACCGACTGTAGGAGTAGCTATTTCAAATTTATTATTACACCTATATATATATATATATATATATATATATATATATATATATATATATATATATATATATATATATATATATATATATATATATATTTGTACAAAGTTTCAATATTTTTATGGTGAATGTTAATAGTTTGCACTTTTAGTATAGTTCTTTACCTTTACATTCTAGTTTGATTGGTAGTTTTCTTTTGTTAAGCGTAAGAATCCATATCGTGTTAAAAATAATATATTTTTAATTGAGTACTTAAATTATTCATCACTATTTGATTCAATTATCATCAATATATCTTGGTAAATAATAGGTTTCTCAAAGGGCAATTGATTTGATAGTGTTACGTCAAAAATGTGGTCGCCGGANGTGGTCAGAGCACTCGATGGCGTTTTTCACCTGGCGTATGGCCATACGTCACGGGCATCACGTCACCGGTCATATCGTTTATTATCATTACTCTCTAATAAACGAGGGGACTATCTGTATTAGGTGATACCCTTTTTTGCTTGAGCCCGACCGGGTTGGGTCCGGTCCGGAGCAAATCGGGGCCATCGAACCCGACCTGGATGCAAGGTAGAACGACGGCCACGTCTACAACCGAGGTCGAGTCATTTCGAGACCGTTACAGAGCTCGATAGGAGTCACCACCGGATGGAGAAACACACAAGGTCGGAAGCCGGACTCGTAACGGATAACCAAGCGTCGCCGGATATCTCGCCCAAACGTGATTTTCTCAACCACTTCAGGCCATTAAGGCGTAATTACAGGGATCCACGATGTAATCAATTTACCTACCTTATTCTTACCCTTAATCAGAATGTATAAAAGGGGATATCTCTAAATTCTGGGGGATCATCAAGCACAATTGTTCTGAGCAGTATTATATTCTGCGATTATTTACTTTAACAGCAATTGTTGAGTCTTTATCTTTATTTTCCTTAACCTAAAAACCTTTTGTATCTTTTAGTTCACGGATCCTTAAAACCCCATATAAATTCAATTGTTATCCGGATTCGAGGGTAAACATTACTAGATTTGGTTTATTTTTAGGCAAAAATCGAAAAGCCGATCGAAACCAGGAACCCCCAAATAAAAGAAAAGGAAAGTTGGGAAGTCAAAGAGAGGGTTGACTGGAGGCAATTTGGTGAGTGAGAGTGTGAGCCTCTCGGTCTACCTAACTACAAATTATAGCTGGTCAATTTTACCCTTCAACCACTCCATTATTACCATTAAACCACTCTGTTCCTTTATTTAAACATAAATCCTTGGATTCGAAAAGTAAAATCAAAAAGTAGAGAGCAATGGAGTCCATTACCATTGAGAATTACGTGTTCCCATCAACAATGGTGAAGCCTCCTGGTTCTACGAATTCCTTTTTCCTTGCCGGCGCAGGTTTAATTAATTTTTTTTGCTTTGTTCTAATCTACTTATGTGTTTACTCTCACTCTAATTTAATTATGTGTGCAGGAAATAGAGGTTTGGAGATTGAAGGGAAGTTTGTGAAGTTCACTGCGATCGGCGTCTACATGGAAGAGACTGCTCTTCCTTTTCTCGCCACTAAATGGAAAAGCAAAAGCTCTGAGGAGTTGGCTAATTCACTCGACTTTTTCAGGGATATCGTCACAGGTAACGATTTATTTGATAGAGTTTAACAGGGGCGTATCTATGTGTTGGAGCATGAGACACGTGAACCCATGCTCATCTCTCGATGCCAACAATAACCCAATAAAATCCCAATAAAATCCTACTAGTGGGGTCTGGGAGGGTAGCGTATACGCATACCTTACACCTACGCAGAAGGAGTAGAGAGACTGTTTCCGAAAAACAAAAAGAGATGCCATGCTCATCTCTCGATACCATATATAATAATGTTATATCTCTTAAAAATTCCTTAAATAAATGAATCCTATGGCATAATGATTATTGGATGCACCTCTACGAGTGAAGTTAGAGGTTCAAATATGAGTTTGTAGGCATGTCTAGTGTCCCTCTTTTGTTTTAATTAAGTATTTTTTTCTTTTTTTTATTTGTTTATTCATTCAAATACTCGTAAGAGGTTCAAATCTCAGTTTGTAGGCATATCTAGTATCCGTCTTGTGTTTTAATTAAGTATTTGCTTTCTTTTCTTTCTTTTTTGTTTGACTTACTCATTCAAAATCCCCAAATCTAACACATTGAAGTCCTTGATCTCCTTTTGTCATCGCAAAATTTTATTTAATTAAAACTAATAGCAGTAGATGATGTAGTATGGTTCAACGATTCCAGCATTTTTTATATGGAGTGTAGGTATATGTATTAAAAATCACTAAAATTGCTAGAACTTTTTTAATTATTTTTTTTTGGTATCAAGTAGAGAAATGTACAGATCAGTTGCCAAAGAAGGGGGAAACCTAATCTGGCAGTCTGATTAATAGGACACAAGTCCCAATTCAAAAAAAAGAGGTGAATCTAGAACTTTTTTAATATTAACCTATAATTTCTAAATGATTATGGATTCCTGTGAGGAACCTAAAGGTTGAACCCGTCAAATATAAATTCTAGATTCACCTCTTTGTAATAGTGCGCATCCATCTTCTTGGAATAGTGATCCCGCCTTTGGAGTTCAAGGCTTATGCACTAACAATATAAAACTAACTTATATGTAAATTATATTGATGTATAAAAAGTTCATTATGTTGTCGGTGTATATACTTAAATCCTATTTGATAAGGCCAAGTAAATAGATTAGTGTCCTTTGTAACATGGTATTGAGGGGAATTATCGGAGAAGAAGATTATGCTATAAAAACAACATGGTTTTGGGATGCAGAAAGAGGTGTTAAATTTATCTCAAAAACTGTAACCACCCAAATCCATCAAATTTTTGGCAGGATGAGCTAAGGATATATATTCATAGGTCAATTTGGGTAGAGGCAGATCCAGGATCTGAACTTTATATAGATTCTATCACAACTCATGTGATTACTGGTTTCGAAATTAATTAATTGAACTTTTTAAATGAATTTCTTAACACATATTTTCTGAGCCAAAATAGTTGAACTCTAAATGCGCCCCTGGTTCTACATGTATATATCTTCAGAGGCGGATTTAGGGAGGCGAAAGTGGGTTGAACCCCCTTTGCCGAAAAATTACAGTGTACATATGAGGCAAAATTTGTTTTGTTCCTTTATATACTATATTTTGAAACCCATTGACATATCCCAAAAGTGTAGCTCAGTGGTAAAGGGGTTCAAAATCTTTGTAAGGTGTTCAGTTCCCACCGGCCACGCTGTCTTTTAATTTTTTAACTTTGAACCCCCTTAGCGGAACTGCTGCCTCTGCCATCGTATATCTTCCTTCTAAACAGGCTATACTTGAACCATATGTGTGATTCTTATCAATATCTAGATGCCATTCCTATGTGAAGTTACTATTTTGTTCTCTATTTGATTAAGCAAATTTTAAAGTCTGAGAATTGAAGATTTAGCTAACTTTGAAAATTTTGAGAATTTTCATATTGAAATAACAATATAATGGGAGAATCGATCTCTTATAAATAAGAAGTTCAGGAATCAGATTGTGAGGGCTTTATTGATATAACATTCTACATATCTACGGTCTTAAAACAATCAAGAGGTTTCTCTCATCTTAATTAAGGTTTGTGAATGTTTTCATACTTTCTCTCTGGCAGGTCCCTTTGAGAAATTCACTCGAGTGACTATGATCTTGCCTTTGACGGGTAAGCAATACTCAGAGAAGGTGGCAGAAAATTGTGTTGCCCATTGGAAAGCAATAGGAACCTACACCGATGCAGAGAGTCAGGCCATTGAAAAGTTCCTCAACATTTTCCAGAATGAAACCTTCTCCCCGGGTGCCTCCATCCTTTTTACTCAATCACCTGTTGGGGCATTGACGGTATGTATGATCAATTATATAGAGCGATAATAGAAATTAGACATTGGCATCATCTGTTAGGACCCTTTTGACAATATTTATGCACCAAAAAGATGAACAACATTTATCTGTAAGCTCATTGATGTTCCTTCTATATTTCTTTGTCTGAGTCCAGATTAGCTTCATTAAAGATGATTCAGTTACTGGCACTGGAAATGCTGTTATAGAGAACAAACAATTGTCTGAAGCAGTGCTGGAATCCATAATTGGCAAACATGGAGTTTCCCCTGCAGCAAAGTGTAGTATCGCCGAAAGAGTGTCAGAACTATTCAAAAAGAGCTACGCCGACGCGTCAGTTTGTGAAAACCCAGGAATTGAGAAATCCTCCGACCCAGTGATTGAGGAGAAACCTACCATTCCAGAAATTGGAGTCTAGTTAGGACAACAAAAAAGGTTATAGTGCTGAAACTCCTTTGTCAACTGAGCCTGATGTTGTCAATGTTGCATGAGTATACTAGAGGAATGATTTAGCCTATGCTTTTCTAGCTTCTCTACTATGTAGTAGTATTCAACAAGGTCCCATCTTTGAAACTGTATTAGCTATGTAATGTGGGAGGCTCAACGTGCCTTTTGATGAATTTAAATCATTATTTATCAAAATATGTTCTTACCAATTGGAGCAGTGAGCAATATGGGGCTGCAGCTGTGATAATATATTCGTATCCATTCCATATTAAAATATGTTCATACCCATTTATCAAGATATGTTCTGGAATGTTTTTCAATGTTTGGATGGAAATATTTATCAAAAGTTAATAATACTATTAGCAAACTAAGAGTGTTTTGATAATAGTTTTTGAGTATGGAAATGACTTCCGCCCATAAGTAATGGAAGTCACTTTCACCATTGTTGTGTTGTCTTCTTCTCAAATATCTTTGTCCCTGTAGGCATTAAACACCCAATAAAAGTACTCTCTGTTTTACTTTAGGTATCCTAAGTTGTTTTTAACCTGAACCAATCGTAGAGAAGTGTTTTACCATTATATATACAAGGTACTTGTTAAAGTAGGATCGAGATCTTTCAAATAATTAAGCTTTGGTTGCATAAGATGCAGTACATTTTCAACAATTCGATGGTGAAAATTTACAGGAGTAGTTTAGTTGGGACAGAGGAGTAGTAAAGTTGCCGCTAGATTTGGAATGAGTGATTTGTCGATTTCTTTGCATGTCTACTTATATCTGGGTACTTGTCTCTATAGCTGCAAGTAGTAATTACATCATTCTGCTGTGGGATAGTCCTTTATATGAAAACTTTTTGATAAAGAATGCAGGTCAATCTTGAATTTTTGAGAATTTTTGGGCCGGCCAGTTTGGCTGTAGGATTAAAAGGAGTGAACTTGATCCTGGTTTCCAATTGGGGAATGTTTTCTGCAGAATGCACATTAAGGTGCCTTTGATATGTCATTCTATGAGAGCGCAGGAGAATATCCTATAATTCTGTTGAATTATCGTCTGTGCTTTTCAAGAAATTAGTGATTAGATATCAATCGAGCTCCTAAGTAAATAGGGGTTCTTTTCTCAAAAGGAGAGTAGTTCTGAAGGTGGTGTTCAGTAAAGAGAAATATTTAAAGAAAGATCCTAGTTTATCTCATTCAAATCTTGCTTTCTCGTCACAGATAGTATGCGTAAGTAATTTTTTTTATAATATGATTATTTTGGAGGTTTGTGGTGCTGAAATGTCTAGGTTTATACGTGCTAAGTATCCAGAGGGGATAATTTTCCATCTTGCTCTATTTATGCATTGGAATCTATTTTATGCAGGGGACTCATAATTGTGAAGCTACAACGTGGACAGGAGTTAAGGCCAAGAGCAATGTCACGGAAAGGAATTGGCAAAGATCATTCGAAATGGTATCCTGCAGCAACTGCGACTTTCTGGTATGAACCAGAGATCTACATCAATGAAGGCATGACGGAAACCTTAACTCTCTAGGAGAAAAGATGATTAGTAGAAAGTAGTCCCATGAAAGTCTTTGACATTGACCCTGAAAACAAATAGGTTGGTTGAACTTCGTACTTTATAGTATGTTTCATCACTATAAGATGCTATACTGCTATGTCTCAACTTTTTCCTCTGAGCTGTTGAACCTACCGGTGGTTCCTATTACTTTTTTATGAACAACATCTCATGTTTTATATGGTGAGGAGCCCGAATGAAACACTCCCTCTGTCCTAGTTAACCTCACCTTATATTGATATCTTTTATCGTGCTCAGCATCTGCCATTCTTTATTTAATCGGCCGTTACAGCTATCCTTGATTGACTAGGGTAGAGTCAGGCCTAAGTAGTCACGTCACTTGCCACTAGACCAAACATTCAGGGGGCATATCTGTTAAGAGTTTCTTTCTGAAACTTATTCAGATTGTGTTGTCGTGATTCTCTTTTCTTTTGAGTTAGGCCTTTATTTTGCATTTTCATCTTTTGCAGGTCAATTGTGGTTGAACCTGTGGCATATACTTAGGATGATGCGGTGCTCAAGAAAGCTAAAGCCATGGGAAAACCGGGGCTCATAGAGATACATGTCAAGGAAGACAGTTTTATTTTCGTTGCTGAATCAACTGGTGCAATTAAAGCTTCACAATTGGTACTCAATGCAGTAGAAGCACTGAAGCAGAAGTTGGATGCAGTACCCTGTGAGAGGAGACGACACTGTGGAAGCAGACGATCAGTTTGGAGAGTTGGGGGCACATACGACGGGGGTAAAACCTCATTGGCTAGTTAAAACTGTCAATGTTGATTTATTTCTTGTAAGCACAAGTCCTCTTTGAACTACTTTAACCATTTTCCATTTAGGACTTCCCTTGACTGGTGGTGGAAATGTAGGAGACTCTTTCTGTTTGTTAAATGAATATGGTTTTTTTCATTATCTTGTACTGATACTGAATTTTTCTGAATTTCATCTTCCAATGGATCATCCATCCCCATTCCCCAGCTATGTATTGACTACATGTGCTTGCCAAGACGCGTTATGATTGACGTCTGAGACTTAAAATTGTTTGTCCACAAATCCAATGAGAAAGCAATTTTATTTTTCGTCGTGCACAGTAAAGTAAGATCATCACTGTGTTATGTAGTTTATCTGTGAAGCTCTTATCATCTGAAGTAAAATCTGTGAGAATTCAGGTGTTGCTTGGTTTACAGTATGCAGGGAATATAATACAGAGATTGTTTATGTATTCAATATTGTTTTACAGTTTTAAATAATGCGCCAATTATTAGGGAAAGTGCACAGATAGCCATTCTCAGTGATGCTATTTAGGAATTAGCCAGTACTTATTTTTGTCCTAAAAATCCTAACTTCATGACAACACAGGATAGTTTTGTCCTGAAAAATTGAAATCCAGGACGCAGTGGCTAATTTTTAAATAGCAACCTTTTAGAATGGCTACCTAGTGTCATTTCTACCCAATTATTATGTAGCAATCGCCTACTCTAAGGACATTTATGTCTTTAAATACTCTTATTCACATAATATTTAGTGCATGTATTCTTCTTTCAAATTTTATTTCGTATTAAAAATCATACCAGCGTTAGTAGTTAGTACTACTGTTTTTGGTTTCCGGTATATACTCAGATACGAAACATTGTATAAGAAATACTGAATGTTGTACAAGGATTAAAAGGGAAACTTACACAAATGTCCCAAATAAATCTCAACTTACCAATCTCTAGCCATTAGTCATAGACTTACCAAAATTAGCCAACAAAAATTGAAAAACCAAATAATAGGGTTCTTTCTCTCAAAGAATCACATGCAAAAATCACCTTACATATTTTTAAGCGTGATTAGCAACATTAGATACAAGACGGAAAGGAAATTTCATGGACGGGGTAGCAAATAAGGTGATGAAATACAAAAATCTATACAATATTCCAAAAATCTAAACAAAAAAGGAACTTTTTCAATGGGTATAGTTGAAATTCGTTGAAAATATATAGATAAGTCAATATACAAAATTTGAGTAAGATTGGAGGTGATTTGGACTGGTTTTGTATCAAAATTCGTAATTAAATCGAGTTCAAAAAAGTCTTCTGCGACACATGTATCACGCATGTATCACACAAACAGGTATACATGGATATACATGTGATACACAATTGATACAAATATGATACATATGTGATACACAAATGATACACAGTGTGATACACATATCATTTTTTTTCATGTTCAGCTTTTACTTCGAATTTTCAATGCAAACCACCTCAAAACTTCACCAAATCATTCCAAAACTGAGATTCAAGCTCCTTAAGTTGTGCCCAATCTATTCTAATAACACTCACTCAAAACAAAGCAAAAATTTGATATTTTTTGCTACAAATAGCTAATTGGCTAATTTGGCTAATATTAGTAATATTTTATCAATTGGCTAATTTTTGTAATGAGCTACTTATAAATGGACATAGCTGGTAATTTTCCGGATTAAAAAGCCTATTTTAATTAGTATATAGCCAAGGGTCTATTGGAAACAGCCTCTCTACCTGCATTAGGTAGGGGTAAGGTCTGCGCAAAGGTGTTAATTGGGCGGGCTGGGACGGGCTGGACAAAAAAACGTCAGCCCGTACGGGTTCGGGGCGGGTTGTTATCGGGATGGGGTTAACGGGTTGGTGGCGGGCTGGGATTTTTCGGGTTCTATAGGGCCCGTACGGGTGCGGGTTTAACGGGCTCGGGCGGGTCAGGCTATATATATATATATATTTTTTTAAAATAAAATTATATTTTTCTTTTTCAATGTTACTGAAACTTTTAAGGGTTAAAATTAAAGATTAGAATTGAACTTTTAAGGGTTAGAATTAAAAGAACAAACTAAAAAATTCTAAATTTGAAAATAGAAAGTAAGTGTCTATATAAAAAATATTGAATAAGACTAATATGCAATATAAAAAAATCACAATATTTATTGAATAATATAATACTTCAAATTAATTTGCAAGTTCTTTTTTGATTTTTAAAATTTTTGAACTTGCAAATTAAAAGTTTACAACAATTGTTAAAAAAAAAAAAAGAAGAAATAGTAAATCATATGTTTTGCATCATCTTTGAAAGCTCTTCCATGTCAATGTGAGGTTCTTGGTTTCCGGTATTATAATCGGTACCATAAACCATTATATCTCCAATTTCTTGGTCTTCCTCTTCATCTACCTCGTCACGCCCTTGATTTCGCCGTTCTGATCTAATCCAATCTCTGAAGCACACTAGAACTTCCAAAGCGTTGCTGCCCAATGAATGACGGGTATCTCCTAGCTGCTGTCTTGCTTGGCTAAATGCGCCCTCTGATGCGACTGTTGAAATAGGCACATTTAGAACGTCTCGAGCCATGGCCGAAAGAACAGGAAACTGATTTGAGTTGCTCCTCCACCAACTCAGAGGTAGAAAATCCTTTGTGAGGGGCTCCGGTGACTTTTGCAAGTAGAATTGGAGTTCATCAATATTCCGGCTACTGGTTTGTTGATGCTCTCCTAGTGTAGACCAAATCAAATAATCTTGAACATTATCATCATCTTCCAAATTTGTTCCAGATGTTGAAGTATTAGTTGAAGGAATATTTGCATCTACAACCGAAGAAGCATCAACAATGTTAGCGTAATAATTATACAAAATTTGTAAATGTTTGTGCAGATCAGAAATACAAGTCTCACTATCAGGAGTTTCAGTTGCTCCAATGTCCATATAAGTATATAAAGCACTGATTAATTGGCGACACTTTATCATTTTGATAGTAGGGTTTAAAATAGCACCAATTAGGAAAATAGGGGGAACTGGGAAGAAATATTTTTTAAACTTATCTAGCATTTGTGCAACAACAGCAGTATATCCGTCTTTCGTCTTCAACTTATGTAGTAAAAGAGAAATTTCAGCAATATGAACTAAACCATTTACAATAGTAGGATAATAAGCTCCGGAAAACTCAAGTGTAGCCACATAAAATTTTTGTAAAAACTTTACAACATCTTCAATGACATCCCAAGTTTTAGATGTTAACAAACGGTTAGGATCGGTACAATGAGAATTAGCAACTTCAGTTATAGGCATTCTATATTTATAACAACATCTTAGGAATAAATAAGTATAATTCCACCTAGTAACTATTTCTTCAGGCATGAGTCTTGGTTTTAGTCCATAGTGTACACATTTTTCCTTAAATGCATTTAATCTAGCACTTCTATTATTTCCTTGAATTACACCAACAGCTCTCCTAACTAAAAAGATTTCATTGTGAAATAAGTCAAGGCCACTCTTCACAATTAAGTTATAAATATGACATGCACATCTAATATGAAATATTTCAGGAAGTGGTGGGTGTAGATGCAATTTTAGTAATGTAATAGCAGAATTGTTGTTAGAAGCATTATCAAATGACATACACAAAACTTTTTCAGAAAGATTATAAAATAAAGCAACTTCATGGATAGTATTACTTATAAATGCACCGGTATGACTTTGATCTTCATCATATTTAAAAGCAATAACACGTTTTTGCATACAAAAATTATCATCTATCCAATGGCACGTAACAGTTAAATAATCATTTCCATTTACAGCACGACCAATATCAGAAGTAAGAGAAACTTTACAAGGAAGACTTGCGAACAAATAACGTATATACGTCTGATATTGTCCATAAAGCCTAAAGATATCAGATCTACAAGTACTTCTAGGAATACCTTTAAACATAGGGTTATAAATTCTTTGAATATAAGTAACAAGATATGGTGAAGAAGCAAAATTAAAAGGTAAACAACCTAAAACAATCATTTTAGCTAATTCTTCTCGGTCTTTTTTAATATCGTATTTACCCAATAACCCCCCAGTGGTCGGGTTAAGTTTTTGTTGCCCACCTTTATCGCCTACTCCCCAGTCAATAGGGTGAATTTCTTCCATGTGCCTACGAAGTTGACCCGTTCCTCCATTCTTACCGGGCTCATGTTTATAAACTTCCTTACATATTTTACATTTTACATAATTTTTCTCATTTTCTAGTCTATCAAAAAAATTCCAACACTTACTTCTTAATCTTCGATTCTTTTTAATAGGCAAAGGAGGCTTACTTGCACTTCCACCCCTAATATTTTGTGTTTGACTAGCATTACCGGGTGTAGGTGGTGGTGTTTCAAGATTATCGGGTGATGGAATATCATTTAAAATATCATCTAAATCATCATCAATACCATAATTTTCTTGAAGTAGCTCATAATCTACATTTACAACCCGTTAACCCCACCCCGATAACAACCCGCCCCGAACCCGTACGGGCTGACGTTTTTTTTGTCCAGCCCGTCCCAGCCCGCCCGATTAATACCTTTGGTACAGATTACCCTCCCTAGATCTCACCTGTTAGGATCATACTGGATTTTTGTTGTTGTTGTTATTGTAGTAGTAGTACAGTTTCTCACCTTAATTTATGACTTAATCATAATATTAGTTAATTCGGTGTGAATAAATTTTTATCTATGTTTGTCCATATCAACATTCTTTCACGTTCTGTTGCGCCATGTGTTGTGATTCCTGTGCACTTGGTTTTTATTGGTATCGCACTTGGTACTCCAAGTGCCATCTGAAAGCTACTATGATTTTTTTTGATTGTTTCACATATTAAGAAATACGCCTTTTAGTGTTAATTAACAATAAAATTTATCATATTAACCTTAATTTGTTCATTGAAAATATAACAAATATTCATGCGTTCTTTATTTCAAGGGTAATTTTGGAAAAAAAGAGTTAAAATTCCTTCTTAATATCTGAAAAAATCAAATATTATGGACCACAAAAAAATACCAAAAAATCTATTAAAGTGAACCAAGAGAATAACATTGATCATCTAATTTTTATTAATATCGGTACTAATTCTTTTACGTTCTC